TGTCATCAAACTTGACCCCAATTTCTAAATTGAGGTCCGTGTGATTGTTATTAAATAGGTGTTTCAAAATATGATACACCCCTGTTTCTTCTTTTTGCTCCGACATGTGCATTCCTTGATATATCGCCATTTCAAGCAATTAATGTTCCATTTTCATTTCGAGATTGCAACATCCATCCCAAACCAAAATGCTAGTGACTGCATGTCATATAAGGGTACTTTTTTCTGGAAAATCCAAAAATTGAAATTAAAAAAAAATTCCTATTAAATATTTTGAATTTGACTCCCACACTACACGTAATGGGTTGAATCTGGTATCGTTGGATGAACCTTTTAAATTTATCAAAATGTATGCAGGAGTATATATATATATATATATATATATATATATCAACACCTCAACAGTGCTTTTGGAATAAATGACTGGCATTCTGTAATGAATGTCACTGAAGAATTCTACAGAAGGAGCTTTTAAAAACTTCGGGGGTTCTGACATGACTTTTGTGCAGTTTACATTAAATAAAACCATTCTCTGATACGAAAGCATGATTGTAAATATGATTGAAACTTTTGTTTTGAAATTTATGAACCTTACAATTTATTTTCCTCGTTTAAAAAAAGCTTGAATTTCCCCAAATTAATGAGCTCGAACATCTATCTCTGCACGCATATTAATTTAGTTTCTAATAAGTGCTGTAAGCAATGGAAAGTTTGATTTCACTAACTTAAATTGATGTTCTAAACTTTTTAATTAGGCTTATAAAATTATGCATATTTACCATTAATAAAAAACTTTGATACACCCAATTTTAGGATACTTTTATTAATAATTTATTAACATTTCATATTTTGTACCTCTTAGTGTTTTAAGTAATTCTTAATTAGTATATTTTGTGCAGTTATTATTTTTCAAGTTACAAGTATCAATCGAAAAACGAGAAATATGTATGTCTTCGAGAAATATGTTACATTTTTTTAAAAGTTGAATATTTTTTGGAAATTTATATTTACATAGATCAATTTTTTATACATATTTTTTATTACCGGCGTTTAATAGCTGGCGAAATTCTGAGTTAACAACTTTTAATGTTCAATTCCTAAGCTTTGTAACTTTGAACCCAACCCATAAAATAAGAGAAATCAATTGTGGATCAAGAGTTTGGAAAAGGCAAACACCTTTGTGAAGGAATCTTCGATAAAACTAACCCGCATTTGTGCTACAAGTTGAAGAAAACTACGAAAATCACCCACGGTTACCTCAACGGCAAGGGAATACGTTTACCACTGAGATATACGCAGATAGATTGCTTATTATTTCATGCAATTTTGTGTTGAAAAAGTTGAGCACTTCAGAAACAACTTGCTTTTGGCTAATGAATACATGGAAGTTTTGACTTTGAGACAGAATGTTTGACAACAATTTGGTAAGTATTACAACCTGGGTTCTTTTACTTCCCAGAAAAATTGATGGGTCCATCGACCAAAAGCTGTATGAGCTGTGAGCCACCACTGAAAACGAGACTTTCGTTCTTCAAAATGAAAGCTCAGTGTCTAACCACTTTCCAATCGTGGCTTAGTTCTATACTAAGAAACGGATTTCCTTTTTAGGAAAAAAAAACATTCTGTTGCAGGACTTGGGAAAAAAATAACATTAATATACGCTTTACACTAACTCGAATGCTGTTCAACCTTATTTACTCCAATGATATTTGTGCATAGCACAGTATTTATTTAGTCGAATTTTTTTTAAATGCATTACATGCGCACTTTTTTATTGTTCTTATTTTGAGAAGCGACTATCATTGTATAAAAGAGGTAAATAAATTTTTGAGAAAACAGCAAACAACATGCAGCATCATTGATCGTACAGCAAATAACATTTTTGCATGATCGTACAGCAAATAACATTTCGTACAGCAAATAACACAGCAAATAACACATACGATCATAAAAACTTCTTAGAGAAACTTTAAGATAAGCCAAACATTTTAAATCTCATTTTTAAGTCAAGTCTAAATTAAAAAAAAGTACTTAAAGCAAAACGTCTGTATTTTATGACCTCATGTAAGCTAATTTGAATTTTTTTTCATATATATATGTATATATATATATATTTATATATATATATATATTTATATATGTGTGTGTGTGTATTTGCAGGCTGTTGAAACAATAACTAAAAGGAAACTTTAAGTTTATTTGTTTTTTTCCTTGAAGTTATCACTNTATATATATATATATAATTTTATTATTATATTAAAATAATAATCAAAGATATATTAACGCTATTTTTATCGGTGCAATCATCAGAAACTATTTCTGGTATTTTATATTTTGATATAAATACTAATGATCCTATGTTAATAGGATAAAAATTGTTTCGGTGTTTCGAATTATATTTTTCTTATGAAGGATAAATCGTTGTAAATATAACTTAGTACTGAAATCAATGGAAACTTTGTGTTGGAATATTTTGAAACATGATGTTTAGTTTCATAAACACGTTTACCAATAATGATTTGAAGGAAATTTTTTTCTTTACTTACTTGATAATTAGACAAGTTCTAGAAGTGGAATTTATATAATAAATTATTTTTATTAAAGAATGTTTTAAATGAGTATTTAAAACGAAATAAAGGCAGACACTTCAAATAACTTTTGAATCGAATAATATACATATAGATATATTTTATTAGTAATTGGCTTATATAACATAAGTATATATTATAATATTAGTTATTTTGTAATTTTAATATAGTTTTACTATTCAAGTCTTCCATAACTATAAAATGCGTAGGGAAGTAGAACTTTTGCTACATAAAGATATATGATATAAACAGTGATTTTTAAATTTTTTAAAAAATTGTTTTATGAAATTTTTTCGAAACTGTTGCTGTGTCTCCAAATGCAGCTAGAATCTTAGACAGTTGATTTATTTATCTGTGACAATTTTCATGGTTGGCAATTTTCATGTGAGTAAAATTTCGTAGCTGCCGGAGTTACGAATTACGATTATTTATATAAGAAGAGGAAATTTTTAGAACTGATTGTTAATGATGAACTGATAATGAAAAGTGAAATTATTCTTCTCGAAAATTAAAAAAAAATCTTATTTTTCATTTTCTACTCTTTTTCCTAACTTTATCCAGTTCCCAGTAGATTATAAATATAGTAAAGTATCACTCTTTCATTCTATTTAATTATTAAAAAATAGTTACAATTTAGATACAATTAATTGAAATTTAACAACTAATTTTGGGGAGAACCTGAGATGTGAGAGGATCTGCTGTCCCAGCATCCCCCTTCTATTATTTGTCCTGATCTAATATTTGTGTTAAAATTTGAGCTAAATATTAGATATTTGTGTTAAAATATATTATGAAATATTTATAGTGTTATTGTTTTCATCTGCTAAAGCTAAATTTTCTTTTTTAAAAAATATACTATAGTCATTTTTTAACAATTTAGACATTTATTCTTAAAACGAGTTCGGTAGAAGTAATTAAATTACTCGAGAAAATTTTTGACTCTCGAAAACTATTTCCTACATGCGTTTTTATCAAATAAATATTTTTAAAAAAAATGATGAAATTTCAATTATATTAAAAATGAAATGTAAAAATATTATTATCCATTAATAAAGCTAGAAAAGTGTGGAGGAAGAAATGAATTTGATCTCATGAAATGTTAAGTTTATCATTTTAAAATGTTTTAAGCATTTTTCAATTCAATTAGTTTTAAAATCAAAAGTTATTATTTTTCTGAAAAAGTTCCTCATATCTTATTAAATTAGATAGACTGGTTTATGATTTCGGAATTCATGTTTCATTTTAAATAATTTTTTGCCCCAAACTGATTTATATTTTGTAAAGTTAATCAAAAAGCTATATCTAGATGTTTTGTTGTGGTTGTGTTTATCAAATTACTGCTTTTTTTCTAAAGATCAGCATAAATTTTTCTTCCATAGGTAATTAAAATGTTAAAAAAAAAATATTATAGGTTAATTTATTTTGTTAGGATGCACAAATACGTCTACTCTCGAAACGAAATATAACTTGAATGTTTCTACTTGTGAAGGATAAATAGTTTTAAANATTTACCATTAATAAAAAACTTTGATACACCCAATTTTAGGATACTTTTATTAATAATTTATTAACATTTCATATTTTGTACCTCTTAGTGTTTTAAGTAATTCTTAATTAGTATATTTTGTGCAGTTATTATTTTTCAAGTTACAAGTATCAATCGAAAAACGAGAAATATGTATGTCTTCGAGAAATATGTTACATTTTTTTAAAAGTTGAATATTTTTTGGAAATTTATATTTACATAGATCAATTTTTTATACATATTTTTTATTACCGGCGTTTAATAGCTGGCGAAATTCTGAGTTAACAACTTTTAATGTTCAATTCCTAAGCTTTGTAACTTTGAACCCAACCCATAAAATAAGAGAAATCAATTGTGGATCAAGAGTTTGGAAAAGGCAAACACCTTTGTGAAGGAATCTTCGATAAAACTAACCCGCATTTGTGCTACAAGTTGAAGAAAACTACGAAAATCACCCACGGTTACCTCAACGGCAAGGGAATACGTTTACCACTGAGATATACGCAGATAGATTGCTTATTATTTCATGCAATTTTGTGTTGAAAAAGTTGAGCACTTCAGAAACAACTTGCTTTTGGCTAATGAATACATGGAAGTTTTGACTTTGAGACAGAATGTTTGACAACAATTTGGTAAGTATTACAACCTGGGTTCTTTTACTTCCCAGAAAAATTGATGGGTCCATCGACCAAAAGCTGTATGAGCTGTGAGCCACCACTGAAAACGAGACTTTCGTTCTTCAAAATGAAAGCTCAGTGTCTAACCACTTTCCAATCGTGGCTTAGTTCTATACTAAGAAACGGATTTCCTTTTTAGGAAAAAAAAACATTCTGTTGCAGGACTTGGGAAAAAAATAACATTAATATACGCTTTACACTATATAATTATACATTCGTGCTCATCTGATATTGTACTTCTGAATTGTCAGTACGGAAGTTTCTTTATACAGTGCTTGTATATTACAATTTAATCTATGTACTATTTTTATAGACTGTTTTTGTACATGATTGGATTCGACAGAAAATCTATATCTTATTTTTTTCCTTTTTTATAACAAAAATAACAGTCTGTGTCAAATACCATTGGATTAATTCACGTTTTAATGAAATCTATTCTTATATTCATTCTCATTGGTCCATCTAAATACTTATATATAATTGTCACATAAAATCCAGTCTCTGAAGTATACAAATGGGTGTAAATGTCTTGTCTAATGGAATGTACAATATTTTATTTTTAAAATACGATAGACATGTGGTAATGCCTCAGTCACTCCAAGCAATATTTAAACTCGCGCATATAATTTCATAAACAAGAAACCTTTGCTTGAAGGTAAAATATTCAGGACTTGGGGAAACACAATCCATACAGCAATGGGGTCATCTGGTTAGTTTTAAATACACATATCAGACAAGGTTCAAAATTTGCACCTAAACCCTGGTGATTATCGTTAACCATCTTGAACAACTTGCATCAGTTTCAACTCGGGGAGATTCATTCGGTGCAAAATAAATGGGAGACAATTGGTGCCCGATATGATTTTCGCAACACATACACAAACACAACATCACGGTTTTTGGTATCCATTTCGGATGTTCTGGAATGATACTTTATTAATATCTTTTACACAGCGCATGTAGGTGGAGTTTTAAGTGTTCCAGACGTGCCCCTAAGCAGGGTTCCATATTGCGCTCGTGCTTAAGATGTAAAGATCTGGTGACATTTCATGAATTTTTGAAATCTCTGATAGGTTATCTTAGAGACACCAACAAGGCTCGTTGAATTCTGGAGCATAAGAAAACAGCTAGAAGAATCTGTAAAGTGTTTGGACAGGAAGCTACATTGTTGGAGCGGCCGTGTTGCATGGCTGCGGGTTTTTCTCCTAAAATTAAAAAGTAAAACCTTATTAGATTTTAAATTGAACTCTTCTGAAATTAATATTTAAAACAATTTAATCACATGATTGCATGTACAACTAAAGTTAATTTAACTCAGTATATGTTAAATGAATATTCGGCAAACTACTAACTAAAATTGGTATCAATCCACTCTCAGTAAAATGATTTTTATAGAAGTTGAATTCATGAGTTTCCTTATTAAATCAAGTTTTATAAGGAATAAATATTTGAAGGTATACTAAAGATAATACATGTATAAAAGTTTTAACCGCTGTAAATTTTTTACAGTGTAACAATACAGTGTAGTCAAATTGATTCTACGTTGAATATTATTGGTACTACTATCCATAATTACAAGCAAATTTGCTGCAACTTTAAGGTGTTAACTTATACTATGCGTCCGTTTAAGTTGAACTATAGTTATCACGTAATCATATTAAAAAATTATTTACATGCATCATATATATGGTTCAATTTATTATATTAAGGTTGCAACAAATTTTCACTATCTTATGGATCAATGCATCCCAAAAGTTCTAACAGTGTACACTTATTCCAATAGAAATGTTATAAAATTATTTACGATAACCGTAATATATATTTATAAACCGGAGTGTGCATTCGTAGAGTAAAAACCTAACAACAAAAATACTGAATATTTTTAAATTAAAAAGAGCTGACTTCATATCTTTTATACAATTAAATAGGAACCCCTATTTTTCAGATTTTGAATTTATAAAAAATAATAATAAAATAAAATAAAATTTCCTAATTAGACCCATATGATTTTGCCTTTTCATTCATAGATGGTGCTGCAATAGCAAAACTGAAATGATATAAAAATAGAGATAATGTCATCAAACGTGACCACAATTTCAAAATTCAGGCCTGTGTGACTGTTATTAAATAGGTATTTCAAAATATGATACACATTTGTTTCTACTTTTTGCTCTGACATGTGCATTCCTTGAAATATTGCCATTTCAAACAATTAATATTCCATTTTAATCTTGAGATTGCAGCATCCATAACGAATCAAAGTGCAAGACCCTGTATGTCACGTAAGGGTAATTTCTTCTTCTGGGAAATCCAAAAACTGAAATAAAAGAAAATGTTCCTATTAAATATTTTGAATTTGACTCCCTCACTACACGTAGGGGGTTGAATTTGATATCATAGGATGCACCTTTTAAAATATTTTAAAAATTTGATTTTAAATTTTTGATCTTGATAAAGCATCTTTTTCAAGATATACTACTGATCCCCTATTTTTTGGTCAATTTGTATGTTATAATAAACCCGTGATCTAAAAGCAGCTTATTAAAATTCTCATATATATATCTAAACAATACAACAGTGATTTCGGAATAAATACCTGGCATTTTGCAGGGAATATCATTGAAAATTTCTACGGAAGGAGCTTTTAGAAACTTCAAGCGTTCTGACTTCACATTAGTGCAGTTTACATTAAAGAAAATCCTTCTCTGATACGAAAGCAGTAAGAAACTTTTGTTTTGAAATTTATGAAACTTAAACTTTATTTTTAGTGTTTAAAAAAAGCTTGAATTTCCCCAAATTATGAGCTCGAAAATCTATCCCTGTACGCATATTTCATATAGTTTCTAATAAATGTTGTACGCAGTGGAAAGTTTGATTTCACTAACTTCAACTAATATTCTTAACGTTTTATTAGGCTTATAAAATTATGCATATTTACCATTAATACAAAAATATCTTTGCTATACCCAATTTTAGAATATTTTTATTAATAATTTATTAATATTTCATATTTGTTACCTCTTAGTGTTTTAAGCAAGTCTTAATCAGTATATTTTGTGCATCATTATTTTTCAAGTTACAAGTATCTATCGAGAGACTGTTTCTTCAAGAAATATGTTCCATTTTTGTTAAAGTTGCATAGCTTGTGAAAATCAATGATCCCGTTATTTTATATAAATTTTGCATTACCAGCGTTTAATAGCCGATGAAATTCTGAGTTAACAACTTTTAATGTTTAATTCCTTAGTCTTGTAATTTTCAACCCGACCCAGAAAATAGGAGAAATCTTGGATCAAGAATTAGGAAAAGGCAAACGCCTTTGTGAAGGAATCTTTGATAAAACTAACCCGCATTTGTGCTACAAGTTGAGGAAAACTACGAAAATCCCACCCACGGTTACCGCAAAGTCTAGGGAATCCGTTTACCACGGAGATATACGTAGATTTGATATGTAGAGAGATTGCTTATTGTTTTATGTATTTTTTTGTTAAAAAAAGGTGAGCACTTCAGCAACAACTAGCTTAACGCTTTGAAACAGAAGGTTTGGTGACAATGTGGTAAGTATTACAACCTGGGTTCTTTTATTTCCCTGAAAAGTTGATCGGCCAATTGTCCGAAGGCTGTATGAGCTGTTAGCCACCACTTAAAATGAAACTTTCGTCTTTCAAAATGTAAGCTCAGTGTCTAACCACTTTGCCATCGTGGCTTATTTCTATATTAGGAAATGGATTTCCCTTTTAGGAAAAAAAATTCTGTTGCTGTACTTGAAAGGAAAAACATTATTCTACACTTTACACTCAACTCGAATGCTATTCAACCTTATTTATACCAACGATATTTGTCCATTGCACAGTATTTATTTAGTCGAATTTTTTTAAGTGGAGTATAGCACTTTCTTTCTGTTAGTATTTTAAGAAACGACTATCATTATATAAAAGATGTAAATACATTTTCCAGAAAACAGGAAGTAACATTTCTGATACCGTATACGATCATAAAAACTTCTTGAAGAAACTTTAAGATAACCCAAAACTTTTAACTCCTATTCTTCAGTCAAGTCTAAATTGAAAAAAAAATCATTAAAACAAAATGTCTCAAATGATTTATCCATATATATTATTTGATTATTATATTAAAATAATAATAAAATATATATTGACACCATTTTATTCGGTGCAATCATCATTAACTATTCCTGGTATTTTATATTTTGATATAAATATTAATGATCCTATGTTAATAGGATTATGCTAATGTTAATAGGAAAAATTTGCATGTTAATAGGATTAAAATTGTTTCATTGTTTTGGATATTAATGACATTATATTTTTCTTATGAAGGATAAATAGTTTTAAAAATAACTTAGTACTGAACTCAATGGAAACTTTATGTTGGAATATATTAAAACATTATTTTTTAGTTTTATAAACACGTTTACCAATAATAATTTGAGGGAAAAATTTTGTTTTATTTACTTGATCTTTAGACAAGTTCTAGAAGTAGAATTTACATAATAATTTTATTATTTGTATTAATTCCGTTAAAGTTTTAAATTAGTATTTGAAACGAAATAAAAGGGCATACTTCAAAAAACTTTTAAATCGTATGATATACATATAGATATATATGATTAGTAATTGGCTTATATAACAGAAGTATATATTATAATACTAATTATTTTGTTATTGGAGTATAGTTTTACTATTCAAGTCTTACATAACTATAAAATGCGTATGGAAGTTGAAATGTATCATACGTTTAAAACCTCACATCTCTCTATGTAGCAACTTTTGCTGCATAAAGGGATAGGATATAAACAGTGTTTTCTTTAAAAAAATTTTTATTCCATTTTCTTGAAACTCTTGTTGTGTCTCCAAACGCAACTAGAATCTTAGACAGTTTACTTATTTATCTTCGATAATTTTCACGATTGGCGACTACGCGAGTAAAATTTCGTAACGGCAGGAGTTACGAATTACGATTATTTACATAAAAATAGGAAATTTTTACAACTGATTGTTAATGATGATGTCGAGGTGAAATTATTAATTTCGAAAATTAAAAAAATCTTATTTTTTCATTTTGTACTCTTTTTCTTAACTTCATCCAGTTCCCAGTTGATTATAAATATAGTAAAGTATCACTCTTTCATTATTTTTAATTATTAAAAAAATAGTTACGATTTATTTACAATAGTTACAATTAGTTACAATAGTTACAATTAGTCGAAATTTAACGACTAGTTTTGAAGAGAATCTAAGATGTGAGAGGATCTGCTGTCTCGGCATCTCCCTTCTATTATTTACTCGGACCTAATAAAGATATTTGTGTTGAAAGATATTATGAAATTCACCGAAGAGCCATTACATTATAACCACCCTCCATCTATAACAATGGGCTCGCTCAGGTTTTCAAGGTTTCTCGCCCAGGAGCAATGTTTTCATGGGGCACATTAGGACCCATAATCCTCATAGAACAGTCCCTGACGTCTGTAAGCTACTTGAACATAGTTGCAGACCAGGTTCACCCATTCATGGCAACAGTTTTTCCTGCGGGGGTTGTTGTTTACCAACAGGATATTGCACCATGTCATATGGGTCGAATCGTCATGGATTGGTTTGAGGAACATTCCAGCGACTTTCAAGTCATTGTTTTGGCCCCCAAATTCATCTGACCTTAATCCAATAGAGCATTTGTGGTCTTACTTGGAGAACCAAATTCGTGCTGCCACGCTACCCCCTCGCAATGTGAGGGAATTGCAGGACCAGTTGGTGAGCGCTCGGTACCAGATAACTCAGACTACCTATCAGCACCTTGTGGAATCAATGCCACGGCGGTCAGTTTTGAGGGCTAAAGGTGGTCCTCTATGTTATTAGCAGGGTGGTTATAATGTAATGACTCATAGGTTTATTTATAATGTTATTGTTTTCATCTGCTAGAGCTAAATTTTCTTTTTTAAAAAATTTACTATGGTCATTTTTTTTAACATTTTTGACATTTAAAACGAGTTTATCAGAAGTAATTAAGTTACTCGAGAAAATTTTTGACTCTTGAAACCTAATTTCTACAAGCGTTTTTATCAAATAATTTTCTTTTATAAAAACGATGAAATTTCAAATATGTCAAAAATGAAATATAAAAATATTATTTTAATAGAAATCCAATAATAAAGCTAGAAAAGTGTGGAGGAGGAAATGAATTTGACTTTATGAAATGTTAAGTTTATCATTTTAAAATGTTTTAAGCATTTTTCAATTTAATTAATTTTAAAATCGAAAGTTATTATTTTTCTGAAAAAGTTCCTCATATCTTATTAAATTAGATAGACTGGTTTATGATTTCGGAATTCATGTTTCATTTTAAATAATATTTTGCCCCTTTAGTCTATTCTATATTATATTTATAAGGTTGCATCACAAATTCAATAAACTGATTTATATTTTGTAAAGTTCATCAAAAAGTTATATCTAAATGTTTTGTTGCGGTTATATTTATCAAATTACTGCTTATTTCTAAAGATCGGAATTAGTTTTTTTTTCATAGGTAATGAAAATGTTGAAAAAAAAAAGATTATAGATTAATTTGTTTTGCTAAGATGCACAAATACGTCTACTCTCGAAACGAAATATAACTTGAATGTTTCTACTTGTCTTTATTTTTTGCAATTAATAAGACAAACCTATGATACTTTATATTATAAACTGTTTCTAAAAACATTATTATTTTCTTTTTTATTCGTCATGTCCGTTTTAGAACTTACGACATCAAACCTTACACTCAATTTATTTTAATTCACTTTAAAACAAACTAAATATGAAGAAGGCGTAAATTTTTTAGTAAAGTGAGTGGGTATCCCGATACAAAACAGTATATATATATATATATATATATATATATATATACCAACGTATCAACTTTTTACATGCAGAATCGTCAGTGGGTAAATATTGGGTGTAAATATTTTAACCTTTAATTCTTCTGATAAATGTTAACTTCTTATTTAAATTAAAGTGTTTACCTAATTACTATTCAATGTTACGACAGCCAGGTATCAAAAATCTATTTTTAATCTTTTTTTTTCAAGCACCTTAAATATTAGCATAAACTCTATTAGGTTTATTCAATACACAAATATCCCGTCCGTGACTTAATCCTACATGTCATACATATCTCAATAGACAATAAAATTTTTTTTTACTAAATAAGCGTGAAATTTCAGTATAATTATGTTATCTATTCATGAGCAAAACGAAAAGAAATGAAAAATCTTTAAGCATTGTCACATCATAACTATTTTGAACATACATTATAGTTTTTTAGATATTTATTACCATGCCATTGCAGGTATTGATGTGTCCTAATTTTATACTTCTCTTTATTTAATACATTCATTTTCAATCATTCCTTATCCCTTTCAAATAAATAAAATTGATTGTTTATTTTCATTTCTTTTCATTAACCCACAGACAGTTTAGTAACTGGACAAAATTAGGAGAATGTAACTCCTCAATATATACCCCTTATAACACGTAATGAACGGTTTTTCAATATAGAGAAAAGCGTCGTGGTGGCTCAGGGGATAGAGCTTTTGAATTCCAATTAGGTGAACCGAGTTCGAATCCTGCGAAGTGAATTCAGCTCCTGGCTAGCGTCGATCACAGTGCTGACGTAAAATATCCTCAGTGGTACACGGATCATAGGTTAGAGTCAAGCTAACTTAGGGAGATTTCGTATTTTTCCTCCTTATGTAACGCAAATGTGAGCTAGTTCCAGTAAAACAGTCCTCCACGGAGTTATATTTCTCCCAATACTTGGTCCAAGAGTTCCCTTGTCTTCTGGATTCAAAATTACAAGGCTATGAAGTTGAATATTAGTAGTTGTAAACCCGAAATTGGACAGGGTGTTCAATGACGGTTATAAAATAAAATATAAAATGTGGATAAGATGGCAGGTTAAAATACAACTTTTTACATGCAGAATCGTCAGTGGGTAAATATTGTAAAAATTGGGTGTAAAAAATTGTAAACTTTTATGAATTCACTTGGGAAATTTGAAGGTTTGTTTAAAATAAAGCAGTTAAAATAAGATTCTCAAAAAGTAAGTAGAAAAATTAGTTTTTAGTTAAAGTAGGGTAAACCAATCAGTGAGAGAACACTACCCAGTTAAGGAACATTTCATATATATTGATTAAAAATAGGAATTGCCGACTAGCCTATGTAGGGGGTAGGGTACTGTCTTTGCATCAGAAAGGTCCTGGGTTCGAATCCTGGGCAAGGCATGGATGTTTCTTTCTCTCTGTGTTTTCTGTCCTTTCTCCTTTCTGTGTGAATGTGACCCGAACTATAAACGGGTTGCGGTTGTGTGAATGGCGTGGCAGAAGTCGATTTCCTGGCCATAGTGGGAGCCACTGAAAAACAGGAACAATCACACCCCCTCTGCTAAAACAGGATTAGATCTTTAGATTGATTGGTAACAATAGCTTACTGCCAAACAATAGGAAGTCATCTAGCAATTTTCGGATTACTTGGTCAAATAGACTTCTCTGGAAAAATTTTTGAATTTGTTATTATCTCTGCAACACCTTGTTTCTTTGAAAAAATTATAAGGCGAGTGTTTGTATTTATATGTTTGAAGTGGAATTAATTGCATGCAATAGTTTTATTTTTTTCACTGTGAAAAGGAGAATTCAAAATATAGTTATTGAAGTTACGTTTTATTTTTTTTTAAGCATCAAAGCATAATAAAGTACTGAAATGAGGGGGTGTTTATTCACTGGACCACGAAACGATGAAAAACCAGTGAAGGAGCAAGTGCTCCTTTATTGGTTTTTTTTTTAAGTTAATGAAAATAAAAGATAAACTTTAATTTTCTTGTACCTTTAGTGATGTTCCGCATCAAAAGTATGTTAAAAATACAAAAAAACAACTTCNAGTTATTGAAGTTACGTTTTTCTTTTCTTAAGCATCAAAGCATAATAAAGTACTGAGATGAGAAGGTGTTTATTCACTGGATCACAAAACGATGAAAAACCAGTGAAGGAGTTCCTTTATTGTTTTTTTTTAAGTTAATGAAAATAAAAGATAAACTTTAATTTTCTTGTACCTTTAGTGATGTTCCGCATCAAAAGTATGTTAAAAATACGAAAAACAACTTCTAACCAGTGAGGGAACAGGCATTTTCCTTTACTGGGCTTAGATTTCGCAGAGAATGAACAGTTTGAGTTAATATGTTGACACTTTAACTTTCAATTCATGATTACAAAAAAAGTTAAAATTTTCCAAGTGTTTATATGTCATAATTTTAAGAATAGGCTTGTTTTTAAATATTTGTCTGTTTTATAAATCCATAAAGAGCATTAAAAAATAACCAAAATTAAGTGTTCCTTTACTGGGTGTTCATTCACTGGTAAGAGCTGTTTCTTCACTTGGTCTTCTTACTACTTGTTATTTGAACCTCTAAAGCTTTAAAACAATATTATGTAAGTTCTCTGCAACTTTTGTTTTACATAATTTGCAATTAATAACAAATATGTTGACACTATCATTTAACTAAAATTACGAATTTTGAAATTAATATGATTTTTTAAAAGGCAAGACAAGCTTAAGTGTTCTTTCACTGGTTAGTTTACCCTAATAATGAAGAAAAGTAAATATAAATATCATTTTTCCTTAAAGCTCTAGAAAAAAAAAAAAAAAAAAAAAAAAAAAAACGAAGAAATCTATTTCTTATTATTCTGTGTGAAATTAGAAGGTAGTTTCTTTCCCACTTCAAGTTCCAAGCCTTGAGAGCATGTCCTTATTTTTTTTTTACAATAAAGTACTTACTTTTTTCAAAAACTTATTTTTGTTCAAACTCTTTTCATATGTCTTGAATTGGATCATCTTCAGTCAGATTTCTAAAGCATCATTACTATCTTCTTGAGTAATTAAAAGTCAGTAGTTTAAAAGATATTTGATAAAATTTTAAGGAGACAAACTAAAAATATGGCACTAATTTAAACGACTGTTTTGGTTTTATGTAGGCCTTAAAGAATCATTATTTTAAACTATTTTTACTAAGCTTTAATGCTACGAACTAAAGATATGGAAGTAATGTAAACAATTGCAATGTTTTATTGCATGTGTTAAAATGTCAGTAGTTTTGATAATAATATTTTACTAATCATTAAGGCATCAAACTAAACGAAAATATGGAGCTAATATAAACAAATGTTACAGTTTAGGAATGAGATCAATTACACTAATGGTCTGTGTTTTATAACATCATAGACTTGTATGAATATATAGAACTTATTTCGCTCTCAGTACAGTTGCAAATGATTTTTTTTTATAAAAAAAACTCCTAAAAGCTTCTACCGAAAAGAACAATTTTGCGAACCTATTATTGAAAGAAAATTAATGGCATTAATTCCACAACTTCAATAATTGATTATTTCCAATTAAGCGTTTGGAAAACGCTATCATTAAGTAAATAAAAAAAGTACCATTAAGAACGTGGACCGTGATGTTGGCAGGGTCAGCATAGGATGGTTGGCAAGAGTAATTTCCAGAATCAGTTGGTCTGGCATTTTGGATACGTAGGCGTGACACGGTTGTTGGTCCATTCTCGGTTGTCACGCGGATTCCTCCCCTTGATGAGTCATAGTTAATCATGCGATCATCATGGTACCAAAAGACAAAGACAGGAGGAGATGTACTTTCTGTTATTATGCAGGTCAAGTTGATTGTTGACCCGCTCTGTATGTAGAGATTAGGACCCTCTGGGATGTATGCACGCGAAACTGAAATACAAAAGAAATTAATTAAAATTTAGTCCATGAATAAACAGAATAATGAAATTCATTGATTAGAGAAAGAATCATGTTGTGTATTTTATCAAATTAAGATTCAAGCGTAAAAATGTTTTAATGATATTGCACTTACCTATAGAAACTAGAATATATTTACTACTACATACACACTTACATTGTACTGTACAATATACAAAATAAAGTTGATATTATTTGGAATATCGTGAAAAGAATAATAGAATTACTCAATGTAGATGAAAAAAAGAATGCAGATGGAACTTTTTCAAGTCGATTGACTGACTGCCATTTTTTTAAACTCCGTATGAACTATTAAACTTTCATAGGAAGTGTTTCTAAGAAAATAGATGCTGCATAAGACAAATTAAAGATTGTCTATATCAAAAATCACAGATCGCAATGAAAGCTTTCTATTAAAAAATGTGTTTAAATTTTGTGGGGCAAAGGAAAGAACATGGTTATTAATTTTATGGTACTATTAACAGGGCAAAAGAATTTTTAAAAAAATGTTCTCTTGTACGTGATGATTTTTTATAGTTCCTTTCAGATTCATGTAGTCAATTTTCAGACACATAAACGCTTATGAGCTTATGTAATATTGCTACTAAGTTATTTAAATATTTGAAAATTGTAAGAACATGGATTTAAAATGTCTAATTATTTCATTCAAAAATGCATTATTATAATCTCAGTTTTAAATTTGAATATTTTACCTACTCTATGGACTGACCGCAAGTCATGTTGCCTAGTAGATCACCGAAATAGATGAAGTTTTTTAGTTTTTTGTGTGACGTCATTTTCTCTTGTAAGCAAATAAATCTTTCCTTATTGCATGCTCTAAATTCAGTTCGAATTTTACTTTGATAAACACACTTAGTTTAAATTTAAGATTTTTCATTGTCACTAAAAAAAAAAGCTCAGCTTTTGAAAACTGAGGTTTTTTTTTGTAAATTAATTTAAATAATTTAATTTAAACTTTTGAAATATAAAATTAAATTATTTAAATTGAAAATACTTTAAAAATATTATTCTATTAATTTAAAGCTTTTAATTTAAAATGAAATATTTAATTGACGAAGCAATACATACAATTTAATTTTTATCAACTGATGTACTTAGTAACATAAAATAACTCTCTTTTAACGTTTAATATTAAAAGTGAAAAGGAAAAAAAAGTACTCTGAAACCAATTGTTAAAAAAAGAGGAAGCCTTAATTTCTTTCAAACATTTTCTAACCAAATAACGGATTTTTTTTAAACAAATTCTATCTCACACATTAAAAATAACAGAATATCAAACCAAACAAGCTTTATTCATCTATAATCCGGTAATGCATTTTAATGAATAATGTTCTTCGTTAATGTTGAATATCGTTGAGATTTTATTCTTAAAGAGGGATTATGCATTAACGAGTTGTGCAAGTCTGAACAGATGAAATGATAAGCTTTGCAAAGGTTTTCAATTTTTATGAGCGAGTGTTTATTTTATGCAAAGATTACGAATGAGCAAGAATCCCAAATGACGATAAAATGTTCTAATTATTCAAGGATTTGTTTGAATAAAGAATTCCAATAACTAAGTAATGAGTATTAAATGTGTGTAAGAATAGTTTAGATGAATTCAGTTTACAATTCACTCCAATGTAATATATCTTAAAATAATTAATTTAACAATCATTTATTAGCATTTAAAGCGGTATATAAACCATTGTGTATAAAAATCTATTATTCGTTTTAGATTGTACTTTATATAAAGTTAATTTTGAATAAAAGATATTCAAAACATTGGAATTAACTAAATTATTCCACATTGTATTATCCTTTAAATTAATTAGTTTTAACAGAAAAATTCACTCCATTAGGAAAGATGAAATCTATTTTAAATCTATTTTTTTTATAAATTAATATGTTTATTGTTATTTTTAAAATTATAAACTACTTTAAAAGTCGATTATCAACACAAATGTAAACTCACTAATGTGAACACCACTTGAACTACCAGATTTGCCGCTGTGTCCCCTGGGCAATCATTGCAATGCTCCTGTGCAAGACATGAGCAGACCACTCTATCCATAATTAGACTGGTCACATTAAAAATCAAATTTTTAACGAAAATTTGAAGATCACTACCGCGGTTCTGCCATCGTATCGCTGTTCTGCCATAGCTTCTCCCTCTCATATCTAGTATATAGGTGCTTTTAAGAGGAAGCTGTTGAATGAGGGGGCTGTAATTTTTTTTATTTAATTGTGCAATATGGTCTCCTGGGCTTGATTTAGTTTGCCGAAGCCAAAGGTGATAAGCAACAAGAACAGCAAATGTAAACACTTTAAAATATGAAAGTAGTAATAATGTTATTAACTCCTGACAAAGTGGCAAATGTTTATTCCAGTTATAAAAATAATGTAAGAACGCTTAATCAACTATATTATTTATTGTCATAAAAAATAGTTTGTTATTAGTAAACTAGAATAGATAAATATGATTTAGAAAAAAAACTTGGTATTTGCTGAAAACCATTAAAGTTTTTATATATTTTGCAATTGTTTAATGCGTTATTAGCGCAGCTATTTATAATATCTCTATATTAAATAATCGAGGGCATCGACGTTGCCTCTGTTTTGTGTGTGAAACTTAGTTATTTTCCGTTTTGCACAGAGAAGACTATATGATTCTGAAACTTGAAATTACGAAGGCGTGAAAAAAAAGCACACATGATACAATCAAATAAAAAAATAACATTCAATAATTCGTTCAAGAATTATTAACTGTTAAACTTGAAGGGGAAAATATCATGCGAGCCGCTCTATAAGCCTCGGCAATGCAAATAACGAGCAGGAACTTGATATCCAGAAAAGACCATACTTTTTCGAAATTCCAACGCACTCGAATGTTATCGCAATTTCAAGAATTTTTTCCTCACCTCTTTTTGCTTTATGTTACATTTTATTCTGCTGTCAAAAACTAAAATGAATAAAAAATATAGTAAAAAGTGCAGGGAGTACGTCGAAATAGAAAATTTAAGATTCCAAAATTAGTTCGAGAATTTTCAGCTGTTGAACTTGTTGAGAAAAAAATAACCCTTCTGGTCAATTTATAGACCACTAAAAAAATGCAACTAGGGAGTTACAATTTTGCGTGCTGAAAGCTGAAATAACCATTTTTACTTGTGAATTTAAGGGCAATTTAGAATAGAAATTCTAAATTCCCCTTCTTTTTTCTCATTCTTTTTTTTTCTAAAGTAAAAGCAAGTTAAAGTAGAGAGAGAGAGAGAGAGATTAAATGCTTAAAAAGTATAACTCTACTATGATAACCATTTCATAAATTAAATACAACCCTTCAGATTCTGATCAACATTGTAAAATCACATTTACTGAAATTTCAATCAATAGCAAGTCTGAAGCTATCAAACCAAACTTTGTAATTCAGAAAAATGGAGACGGACTGAAATGTTGTTGCTGGTGTGAAAAAAAAGCACTCTTAATTAACTAGCAAGATTGTAATAATTGTGATACAGTAGATGATAAAAGGATGATAACTGAACAGTTGTCAGTCCATTTTTCTTCTAATTTATGATGTTTAATAAAGAGGCAAATAAAGACGGAAATCTGGCTCTATTATTTTTGTGGATCAATAAACTTAAAATTAATGACCAAAGGTATTTGGAAAAGGTGACAACGTTTAAAGAACAATCAAGACAAATGTTCCGATAAGCTTTCACGTCCAATGATCTTGCTGTATGACAATGCCAGATCACATCCAAGAAAAGCAATAAAGAATCTTTATCAGAAATTTAAATGGAAAATTCAGAGACTCAGTCAGACTAGTCTAGATCAATGTCCATGCTGATTTTACATCTTTTATGACCTCAAAAAACAGTATTCTCATAGGTATTAAGTAAAGGACATAGACAAGGTGTGTGTGTCTAGTAGGTTCAAACAGAAGTTGAAGTTTTTTTGTAATGGAATTGTGTAATAATGGAATTGTGTAACAATCGTTACTATTGAACAGACAGTTGATTATTACTTAACATGTTTCATTAAGGGTGTACAATACGTATTCTATTCGTTATTCACGTTATTTATTGGTTGTTTCTAAAATTTTGAATGAAACGTTTCGATTGTCTTAATAATTCACAGAATAATGATAATGATATTTTTCAAAAGCTAAAGAAGATCAGTGTACTACAACAGAAAACATTAACAAGACACTAATTTGCAACCTTAATATATATATATATATGTAACATAAAAAGCTTCTATTATTCTTTTTATGTTAGTTTCTTTGCTATAAAACAACTCCTACTTTATTACTAATTAATTATTCAAGTCGAACTGCTTTCTCACACTTTTAAAAGCCACATCCTGTTTCTAAATCTATTTTTAGCCAAAGTATGCATAAATTTAAATAAAAACATTCTTCCCTTTTAAACTACGTGGGAATCACTCGAGCTAGTTCTTAAACCAATAGTAATCCTTGGGACTTCCCTTTTCCCCTCAAATATAACAAAATAGAGGGAAATTCCTTTGCTACTTTCCCTAAGATAAAAACTTAAGC